TCCTTGCTGTGAGGGGTTAATGCATATTCAAGCATGTCCCCTCCCTGGTTCCACCTTCTTAGATCATGCTTCTGCACAGTCTCAGTTTCTGCTTGTCATCATAATTTTTTTGCTGGTCATCATTATTCTTGCTGGTCAGCATTCTTTTGGAGTCTGGTTTCCTTTTTTCTGCAGATGGTCAGTTGTTGATAAGGGTCTGGGCCCCTCATCCTTCTTCTGAGGGCAGCTGAGCTTATCTTTCTCCCCTGCCCACGTACTGGTACCGGCTTTTTGATAACAGTTTGGCTTCTATTGTTCTCTTGATAAGAGTTTGAGCCCCACTGTCCTTGCCCTCTGGGATTTCCTTGCCTGGTACCTAGGAAATTCTTTTAAGCTTAAGACTTGTTAGCAAGAAAAAAGTACATACATAGCTAAAAAGTATTTAACATATAATATTCATCTGCGAAAGCCAATATCACAATACAAATTTATAACATAGATATAATTCTTTCTCTGTGCTACACAGGATACTAAAAACTTTTTTCTTTCCTTGAAAAGCCTGGGTACCTTCAAGAGAGAAGTCAGCAGGTAACAGCAGTCAGAGGGTAACAAGGCTCAGTCCACTCCTATTTAGTTACAAACCCATCTCACCAACTCTCATCCTTCTTCCTGTCCCAGGTACTCTGAGATCTTCTCAACAACTGCTGGTTCACCTTCCCACTACCATCTAATTTTCCACCTTATTTTACTCCATTATTTTAGAGACAGGTGCTTTTACATGGGATATTTGTTTGCCCTCACAATAACAACTGAAAACCTCAACTGTCCAGAGTGCTTCAACACCTCTTCAAATCAGACTACTTAAGCAATATTATCCTAATTTTACACATAGGGAAAAATCTGAATGGCATTTGAAAAGCATTTAGAGCTCTTAATTTTCAGACTTCTAATTAATGGAACTGGAAGCCTAACTAATTTCATTAGTTTTGATATTGTTGCTCTAGGTTAAAGGCCCAAAAAGTGTGAGAATCAGAATGTGATCAAGAGCAGCGGACTGAACCAGGATCTCCCATGCTAACAAAACACAGAATAGAACATTCCAGTTACCAGTATGAATCCAAACATACTTTATTCAATGGAAAAGATTAATGGACAGGACTTAACTCATCATCAAGTTTCATTTTTTTGCTTCAGGTTCTGAATATTTACACATCCATATCATTAAGACATACTAATACAGTAATTGAACATCTCTGTAATGATTAGGTATACCTGCAGACTCTGCTCTCATGCTTGTATATTCAACAATTTCTTCACCGATTCCTTGTACTGAGACATGTTACTTTCTGTTTCACCGTTGTTTTTAAGTGCAATGACTGAGTTTCTGTAATTCTTAACCACTTCAGATGCCAGCAGCTTCTCCTTAGTGACATTACTGACATTCTCTGAGGCTTTTATTTGAAGCAGTGTGTCCAAGGCATTTTTCTGAGAGTGACTGTTTTCCCAGATATACTCTTCCATGTCTTCCTCAGACTTCTCGCTCTCCCACTTCTCAGTTTTCTGAAAGAAAATACAGAACCTGAAAAACTACCCAAGACTGAAACAAAGCAACAATAATTTGAAGAAATTGATCTCTCAGAGCAATTCCCTTCAAAAACTGCATTCATGGTGGAAGGTATTTCCTCCTTTAGAGTCTAATGCTTGTAACTCAAGCATGTATGAGCAGGATGAGCTTCTTTCTCCCACTCATCAGGTTCTTTATGTATCTGGCAGATACAACTGGGTGAGTCAGAGTGGCAGGAAAAGCTTATGGCCTATACATAATAACTAAAAACCTTGCAAAAGTAGTAATTTTAAAGAACCCTCAACACTGCAGTTCTGGAAGCAGCCACCCAGCTCCTATCTCCCTAGCACAGGGTTCTGCTCTGGCTGCACTGGCTGGTGGAGGGAAAGTGAGACAGTGCCTAATGAGTAACCTGCGATGTGACTCACGAAGAAAAGCACCACCAACAAATCCATTTCTTCTTCCTGCAAAATAAATTGCTCAATAGAATATCTCTCCACAAGGTGCTGATATTTACTTAATTAGACAGGATCACAAGCTGGGCACTGACAGAAGACACCATCCAAATGCCTGCAAATACACTTGTTCTGTATCAGTTGTCTTTCAACATTTCTCCAGGCCTTGAAAGAATCTTTAAGGAATATTTCAAATGTTGTAACATGCTATTTTTTATTGTATTTTGATAAATACAGATGCTTCAGTGATATATTTGCATTTTCATATATTGCAGGCTGTATGTTTGAGTATTTACAATTATTTAGTACTTTACTCATGTAACCAGTATGTCATATCTTTATATTACCTCACCTATGTAAGAATCACAATTTGAAATACTTTGGGTTTAGTTTTACTATTCATGTTTTTCTTAGAATTGTTATAAAATCATGTATAAATAAAACTTGCATTTCTCTGGAAATACATTCAAAGAAACCTTATAGTAAAGCCTCTAATCATACAGATTTTGTCTTTTTTTAAAATAACTTGCAAAAAAGGGCTCTTCAGTAAATTTTTAGCTGTGCTATGCATAACCAAAAAAGCCTCTTGCAAGTTGGGGAGGAGGGTTTTTTGTTGTTGTTTGGTTGATGGTTGTTTTTATTTTTTTTTTTCAATTTATTTATTTAAATGTTATTCTTTCCACTAAGAATCAAGGCTGCTGCAGTCAAACCACAGTATTCAATAACCTTTAATTAAGCTCCAATAGTTTTTTTCACCCTGCAACACCTGTGTGGCTGGATTCCTCTATCTGAATTTAAAACACTTTCCCAACTGCTGTGTCCTGAACCTGGTAAATGGCATCTCTTGTCTTTTGAATCTGAGTCCAAATCAGAAGCAGCAATTCACACTGCTCAAAGGTTCATATGACTACATTAAACCCTGGACACAATTAAACCACAGGAGTAAAAGGATCTCATTCATTTTCTGGAGGGGGAAAAACAGGAACAAAAGGACATCCTGTAGCCCTGTTCTGCTGAAATATTAATGGAATAAGTGGGCACAGTGAAGTGTTCCTTGTCTGTCTGACAAACCCTGCAATCCAGGGTGTAGATTTAGAGTTTTAAATTAACAGCATCAACCTGCTTTACACATCCCTTGGTTATCTGCAGAGTGTTTATCCAAGACATTTTTTCCCCTGAACTACAACAGAATTTTCAAGCCAAAGCCTCTCTCACAGGGATATGGTTTCTCAGGAATAAGGGAATATGGGTATCACTCCTGGCCACTCCCTGGACCAAATTCATATCTGAAGTTCAAACAAAAGATCCCTGTGAGGCTTTTAAACACCTCTAAGTCATAGCAGAGACTACAAGGACTAATGACTAATCTTCAGGAAAATCCTCTGCACACAGCAACTTAGAGGATTTTGGAGATGCACACTGATGAACAGATCAAAATTTACCCACCTCTTGTGAGCAATACAAAGCAAGATTTTAAAGCAACTGTTGAGTATTTCTTCCTAGGAATCCTTCCTAATAGAATCATGCCAACATGGATTTTAAGAGATTTTATTTTTTAAAATAAAATCTGACTGTGTGGTGGGAGGTGAGGGTGAAGGCAGAAAGAGATTTGACAGTAGGAGAGATTTCCAAATCCATTAGTTTTTGCAAACTAACTGTATCCAGTGAAACTCAGATACTTTTCAACAAGAATTACTGCAAGGGAAAAGTGACTGCAGAATTATATAAACAACTGGAAACGTATTCTAGGTAGACAAGCACCATGGACTCTGAACAGTGGAAATGTTACATGTGTTACAGACTCAGTTTAAAGTGTTATGGATAAAACTAATAAGAACAATTAAATAAAGCTCAAAAATTAGGTCTTTATCACTCAAATTTCATCAGCTGAATTATTTTTGTCCCCTACAGATTTAGCACGTTAGTGAACACTACAATCTTAAAAATGAGAATAAAACTGTGGAATCCGTGTGGAGAAGTAGAATCCAAGCGTGGTATTGTGTAATGTTTTTCTTAGAATCCCCACTTTGTGAACCAGGTTGAAAATAAGAATTCACTAAAAATGGATTCCTCATTCTATCACACAAAGACAGAATCTCAGTATTATCCAGCTTGGCTAAAGATGTGCTCGGCTGATACTTTCAACCTTTTCCTCTTAAAAGACTTAAAATAGGAATCAAAAAAACCCAAACCAAAACAACAGAAAACAATTTTCCATATATAGTCAAAGATCTAAACCTATGACTAAAGAGGCATAGAAAGACTATTTTTTCACTTCCTAATGCAAATATAAAGAATTATTTTTTCAATGCCATAAACATATTAAGGATTTCTTTCTAAGCAAATCTTTTATGCTACAATTTAAGCCAGTATATTGGGAGATTTACAAGCCTATACAGTGCTTATCTGAATTCTGGAAGTACGAATGCTAAAATAGACTTTGGACAGTGAAGTCACCTTTTACATGTGAGCCATTAATAAAAAGCTTCACTTTATATGGTACCTTAAAGTAGAGAAGAAAGAAAAGAATTTGGGATCTCTTAAGCAGGTATTTCACCATCAATGTGCTTGGGATTTTTTCTGCCTGTTCAACTTGCAGTTTTGCTGCTGCAGTGATACAGAGGCTTAAAACTGTCAGTTCTCCCATCTTCCTTTTGGGAAAAACATTTTAACTGAAATTTCTCTAGTGGCACATAGAAATGTTGAGGGCAATTAAAAGCATGACTCATGTTGGTTAATTTTCTTTTCAACAGTTTGAACAGTTAAGTATTTAATGCTGTTTAGCAAATATCAGGTATTTTAAAAGAATTATTTTTGAGGGGAAGGAAAGTTCCTTAAATGGCATGTTAAATTTCAAAGTCTGTATCGCCTGTAATAAATACACTTTGTATTGCATTGAAATAAAAGATGCTCTATGTGATACAATGATCTTAGATTTTCAGCTAATAAATGACAGCTATGCTAACATTTTCCAAATTACTGGGAGCCTTCAATCTTAAGTGCTTATCTTTTTGGATATAATACACCTTTAATTTGTACTATTTAATTAGCAACTTAGAGATATCAATAGGAGTTTGTAGAAAGTCAAAACCTATTTGTATCATATGAGGTTGGATACAGAAATTGTAATTATTTGTTGATGTGCAGTAAGTTAAAATCCATTGTTCTGAATAAGCAGAACTGTATTTTCTAGGACACAGCAATGGCACAGGGCTGGTAGGACTTCTAGAGGGTCAAGAGAAAACAAAGACTAAAGGAGGACTAAAATTCCAGTGAGGTACAAATGTGTAACAAAAAAGGATAACAAGCAGCGAAACAAAACAGAACTCTGCCCCAAATACTAATACTGCATAAGAGATGCTCTCATAATTAATGATGCGCTCATAATTAATGATGCACTCAAGTTTACTCTCTGGCTCTGTAACTAACTTGGGAAAGTTGCCATCAGCCTCTTTCAAAACTAAGGACAACATCTAATTTCTCTAGGCTAGAGTGGCTACATGCATTTTCTGGAAAATCCAGGTTTCTGAAAGGGTCATTTGTAAGGTAAATACCTTAATAAATATAAAAATAATTTTTTTAAAAAAATCGACCTCAGTTTGCCTTCTGAAGGTTGACCAAATAAGATTTTGATCTCATCAAGAGAGATAAGTGATATTAAAAATCCAAGTCTGTTGATTTTCTGTTCACTTTTTTTATGAATGTCTATGCCCCACGAGACAATTTCACTCCAACACAGACTGAAAACTGAACAGTTGCAAAAACTGTATTTATGCATCAATGAGGAGCCTTGTTTCTCCAGCAACAAGAAACACGGAGCTTAAACACAAGGTATTGCAAGAAGCTTACTATAGTCAGAAATATTACAAAGACAATTCCTAATTCAGCCTTTTGCTGGAATGCTCATCCTTTTTGGTTCCAAGAAGTACAAAAAAAAGGTGTAACCTTCTACTAAAATACACATTTCCTGTCAAAAGAGCTCCTTCCTTTGATTTTAAATGTTTAAATTCAGAGAAAATTTATGAAATTTAACATCTACTGTAAAGTCACTTTATCTTAACCTTTTCTGGTTCCCATTACTGATGAAGACTCTCTCAGCTGTCTGATTCTGGTGAGCACGCAATGGAATTAATTGTTCAAAACAAAGGACATATTCAAACATTTAGAGACCATCCTCACTTCAGCCTCAGTCTGCATTACTTAAACCCCTTAAACAACACTGAGAGAGAAACCTGTTCTAGGTAGGGAGAGTACAATTACACACCATCATTGTTCTAAGATACCCAAGTCAGAACCTTTACCCTGAACATTTTAAGTGATACAAAAAGGTGCCCAGGGAGCTTCAGCACGACTTGAGTACCTCCTCCAACTCCCACTGCAACTCTACAACCCCCATGTCATAACATCTGAGTGTTCCTAACATGAACTTTTTAATCCTAAGTAGCCAGAGACCTGCATATGTTTCAACAGTGGGCTCATATCCTTTCACATATTTTAGGCTGAATTACAAGGTAAACTCCCACTATGAAACTGCAAAATTCTGCTGTTACCAAGTATTACTGCCACAACCTGAAACAGTAAAAATTACGTTTATTTGGAATGACTTAAATAGCTTAAAATGACTGTAGTTGAAAAAAAAATGAAGCCTGAAGAAAAGCTATATGATGGATTTGAGTGTTATCACCAGTGGTCATATAAAAATACCCATTCAGCATGCAGACACAGACACTGCATCCCACCAGTGCCTTACCACTGAAAGCTCTAAAAAGAAATGCAAAAGTAGTTCCCTTGACATTCAATCAAGCTGTACAGCTGCAGGGTTGAAGGATAAATTTTAGTTAAGCCTCCACTGCCATGCTGTCTGCCCATTCATTTTTTTTCCTTCCCTCACCTTTCTTTTTCTTACTGTAAGAAGTAGTGGAGAACAGAAAATCCAGGACAACTTTTTAGTAATCTTTCAAGATCCCAGCTTTGCAAGGCTAAATCAAGATCCTTCTCTCTCCCTCATCTTGTGTATGTTGAAATACCATGTGGAATTAGAGCAATAAAAATTTAATTACTCTAAATGTTTTTCCTTACTGGAAAATTGACTTCCTGTTGTATTTCCTTCTCATTCCTGCTTTCAACTCCCAACAGAAGTGGTCGTTTGAGTGATGAACTATTAATCCAAGCTGTGTGAAGAAATCCATCCACGATCCTTTCAACCACTAGAGGGCAGCAAACTCTAACTCTTTGAAAACCACCTCTACCATACGAAGACATCCAGGTTTTGAGTGATGTTACAGCATTCAAGCAGCCATCATATAGAAGCAGCAAAAATACAACTGGTTAAGATGCTGATTAATAATCTATCTAATATATCTCACTCTTTCACTGATTAATTTGATCTAGGCACAATCCTGGGGGATAATCTGAAAGGAATCACAGAAAAAGTCCAAAGAAGAGAAATGTAATTCTTAATAGTTGAGGCAATCAGCCATCTAATTAATATATTCTGAAAGCTAATAAAACAGCAATATTTTATTAACAACAAGACAACTAGTAAACAGGAAGCAAAACATCTCCAGGTATTTTAGAAGGAGAAAACAAAACATTCTTAGGTTGTGAAGATTTTAAAGACTGTTTTAAAATAACTGAACTCATGGATCTGATATTGCATTAACTTTTTTTATTCATAATAAAAGGATGATGCATCACTGGCAACTAAAACATAATTACACTTGAAATTCCATTTCCTGATGTATATCTGCATATAACTTTTTCCTCCTATACATGCTTCCAATCGACAAAATACAGATATTAATGTAAATCACAGGAGTTCTGCCACATTTAAAGTGGTCGTGGGCAAAGTTTTCAGGCTTGAGGGCAGAAGTTACATGGATCCAGCTTTCCTTCACTCAGCAAGAATGGAACACTGCCCTCATCTTTTGATTCAACTCCAGCAGCCACATGTATCACCAGTGTGGCACTACTCTGCTGGTAAAGTCATCAAATCCTACAATTAGTTCTGCAAACAGCACTGATATTACTGCCTAAATGGAAGGCCAGGCCCTGTCCATCCTCCTCCAATATTAAAGTTTATGTAAATGGAAATAAACCACAGACTGCTTGCTCATGATTTACCAAATGGATCCAAACTATCTTTCATCAAGTTATTAAAAGGCATTATCCCTGATCAGGGGCAAAAAAAAACATGCCACAAAAAAACCCATGTCACACAAAATAAAAACCCATGTCTCAAGAAACCATTAATTTTTCATGGGAATCAAAGACAATTACAACTGATTGATGAACTCATCAAATATTAACATGGAGGAAAGGTAATAAAAGTGCAAGTGACTTGTGCATATTCAATACACACTGAATACTCCCATATCAATATTGCATAGCCCTGTCTTCCAGTACTAATTAAAGCTGGAGCCCAGCACAGCTGTGGTGTTTGTCTGAAATTATTAAAGTGAGTGCTGTCTAGTTCTCTTGTCATCGCTTAACACTGGATTAACGTTTAACTCTACCATTAATTTAAGATTTGTAATGCAAATTGAAATGTTATCTTTCACCACTGATTAACTTTGATGCAATTATGATCTACAATTACAAAATTATCCTTTAAGGCAACTGCCACTGAAAGGGAAATATAGCTCATCCTCCTTAGGATATTCTGAACATCAGCACTGCAGTGATCAAATTCAAGAAAATTCATAAAATTGCTAAATACAGACATTTCCTACTCTAGAACAACTGAAAACAGTAAGTTTGAGTTTAGCAGTAGATAAGGTACAACTTCTGTAAGAGTGACATATGGAGAACATGAAGGCTTTGTCTGTCTCAAACGATGTGATAGTGACATGGGACACTTGAACAAAGTTCAGTCATCCAAAACATTACTACGGATTTCCAACAACAACAATTTCAGTTCAGACTGCTCACTTGTTTTCTGTAAAAAATGCTTGTACAATTGTTGATGGGCACCAACACAACCACAAAAATACAGGATACAAGTGTGAAGGATTCCCTGGGAAAGAAACATCTGTAGTCAGAAGGTGGAAGGCTACCCCTTTTCTGAGCAAGAGGGAGCTCAGAAAAGCAGTCAGCTTGAGACAAGATATGTGAGAGATCATTTAAGAAGCAGAACACTTGCAAGTGACAGCCACGGTTTACTGCAGCCCAGGAAGAGTCCAAGAAAAGACATATTCTAATTAATAGATAGGAGTTTGGAATCCTACGAGATGTTCTCTTGGTTGAATTTGAAGAAAAGTGAGTTGGAAGAGAACAGAATTTTAAGATCATTTACTTTAAAATATGACAGAGAGCACATCAAGAGAGTCCATGTACAACTGCTTACCCAGGATTCGTGGTACAGCACTGTGAGCAGGTGCATGCCGTAATCATAGTTCTGTCTTCTCAAGGGACACCTGCAAATGCAGAAACAATTTTTGAACAAAAGGTTAAAACCTACCATCAAATTTTCTACTGTGTAATGCAGGGAAGCTTAGGAAATGAGTGGTTGATTCCTGTGTTATTTCTCAATTACGCACAACCAAGAATAACATTGTAATGGGGGTATGAATACTAAGAACAGAGAAGAATGGCAGCTGCAAGTCAGCAGGAAAATATACAATACCCAAGAACTTACAAATCTTCTGGAGACTTTTTTGCCCCCTGCACCAAAGTGTAATCCGTAATACATTGTCTGAACTCTTTTAAAACTTGTTTTTCATAGTTAATAACAGGAGTAATGTTAATTAAGTCCTATTTTAGTCCTAAAATATAATAATTCACCAAGACAATTACTGGTATTACTAGAAGACACCCAGCCCTTTCTCTGCTGTAGGCATTGCTACAATATTGTTTCCTTCTGACAGCTCACCTATTTGTTGTAATTGTGAGTACATCTGTCTCCCGACAATACCGCTCTCCCACGAGCTTAATGAGCTTCTTCTTTGCATGGTCATCCAAATTCAGGTTAGAAAGTTTAACCTTCACGAAAAGGAGAAAACAACTTTAATTCTTTGGAAAATCCAAACTCTGAACTCAGAAGTACTTGAGACAGGCACATTTTCTATCAAGGAGAGCTATTCAGGATGCATTTGCAGAATTTCTTCGGATTGTATCATGTTGGAAGTCTTAACACAGGGCAAGAACGTGGGTATTCAAACAATATACACCTGCATAATAAACATCCCCACAATGCTTTACAAGTCCCAAGGCCGGTCAATATGAATGGACAGATTTGGTCAGGAACACACAGATGTACTCATTTGTGTGTGATTTTGAATTCCCTCCATTTCCCTCATTTCCTTACAGCAGATCACACTTGTATGTTTGGAAAACAAAGCAAAGTATTTAGGGGTTTGAAACAAAGGCTGTTTACTTATTTACTTAACTACTACTTACTCTTAAGGTCACCACTCTTGCCTTGGGATTCCGAATAGAAATCCCTGAAGAAACATAATCTACTGTTTCAATTTCAATGGGAAAATGCTGTTCACATTTCTCATCACTGTCCAGAGCACTTGGCCACTCAGTGCAGAAATCTGTACAATAAAGAAAAAATGCTCTGAGTAGTATCTGTCTGCTTGGGTTTTGGCTGGCTTTTTTTGGGTTTTTTGTTTTTTCTTTCAAATGTATTGCAATATATGTTTTTAAAAGTACTAGTCCTAGAAACCACTCATTTAGGTATCAGCAGTGTTTCTGCTAGACTTGCTCCAGTGTTGCCACATCCCTCTTTGTACTGGATTCCCCAAAACAGGATACAGTACTGCAGATCAGTCTCACAGCTGCCAAATAGTATTATAGAATGGTTTGGATTGGAAGTGACCCTCCTGCTATGGGGATTTTTTTACGAGATCCAGTTGCTCAAAGTCCTGTCCAGCCTAAGCTTAAACACTTCCATGATGGGGTATCCACACCTTCTCTGGGCAAGCTCTTCCACTGTCTCATCACCCTCATCACAAAAAAGGCTTCCTTTGCCTGAGCTCCTCATTAGGTTTCTCTTACAGGCTTGCTGTGTGGAAGGCTGTTCCTGGTCTCTAGTAGATCCTGCATCTCTCCAGCAGACCCTGCTTTCACAGAGGGTTTCACATTAACAGCTTTTTGGTCGTTAAATGCAGTCCATAAGGGCTACTGATTGAAGCCTGGTTCAATCACAGAGTTCTCTGAAAACTGAGTCACATTCATCACTCACCTTCAGTAAACCATTGAACAATCAACTCATCAGTTCAAGCAAGTTCTCATGGAAAAGTAACATTTCAGTCTTACTGTTGTGCTGACAACCTCCTGAGACTTATCTGCTACCTCCTGGATGACTTTTGGCAGCAGAAGGAAAGCAGACAGTATCAGCCACAGCCAGCTAAAAAACCAGCTCCACAAGTGTACCATGTCTCACCTCCATCATCACACAGACATCCTGCTGTCTGAAAACTTCCAGGGATAGTTTAAAAAGAAAAAAGCAACCAACAAAACAAACAAACAAAAAAAAATAAGAAAAACCTCAACCCCCCCACCCCCTCACCTTTAAGAGCTGCACAGTGCTTCTTAATTGCAGGAGGAGTAAGATGCAAAAAATTGGGAATCTGAAACAGACACATTAACAGTTACCAAAATAATAACTTTTTGTCTGATCAGAAGTAAATGGGCATTACTGAAATCTGATTACACTTCTCACATTTGCTAAAGCAGTGTAACATGCTTTAAGGAAATGTTCATATAAGCAGACTCTTCTCGAGTCTGATTTAGGAAAAGACTTAACTCTGTGACAAAAGTCACTAGCATGATCATCCTAAAAAGTCTCCTGATATCATTCACTTTTTAATTAACTTTATATTTGTTACCACTTAGAAATACAAGAGGATTACGTGACTTAATAACAGAAAACAGTCTCCAAGACAAATATTCAAATCAAAGCAGTGCAGCCTTAGTGAACAGTGACTTTAAAAGTGATCCCCCAGCCATGGCATGTGTCTTACCTTGATAAGTTCTAGGTTGCCTTCTTTTGGTGGAGGCACTCCTCTCTTCACTGGGTAACCCATTCGGACTGGGAGAGGCACAGAGGCAGGTTTAAAGGCAGCTGCTGTTGGATACACACTGCTCCAGTCCTGATCCACAGCCATCCTCTCCGTCCTGGGAGGTGCAGCCTAATCAAGGGTAAAGAGGACAGGTGGGACGGGAGATACACGGGATGTAAGACAAGACAGGATCAACACACCAAACAGCAATTTCAGGAATCAATTACCACAGCTGGACATTTCAAGACACCTTTTCAGCAAAAGTTAGTGCTGATACGTAGAGGAATTTTTAGCAGAGAGCCTCTCCCATATTAGCTGCCTGGCCTTTCCCAATCTTCTACTGTATTTGATGCCAGAGATGCTTAGGAAGAAGAACTTGCCATCATCCTGCCTTAAGATAAATCAGGAGGGGGAATCAAACCAGTACAGAATTGCAAACTCTATTTCCTAAAGGGCATGAATGTTTGGTGGGGGACAAGACAAGGAGTTTTAAAAATCTGTAATTCTGTAGGTGTGGAACAGCTTGTAATAAATAATGCTGAAATTTCTTGCCATAGAAATTTCAGTGTAGGGACAATTTATCAGCATATTGCAGAAACAGCTTATACACTCCAAAAACTGACCATCATTTCAGTTAAATGCTCTTAGAAAAAGAAAAGCTTTATGCCAGAAATCTTTATACCACAAACCCTGTAAACTCAGGCTAAAAACAACATTGACATGTCTGGGTTACTGGAAATGCAACTTTAAGTTACTTTTCAGACCTGCACTACATGGTGTCAATGCAAATTAACCATCAGCTTAGTGTTATATATTTGATTTTTGATAACACAGACTAAAAAGGTTACAGAAGCCAGGTGATGGCAGGCCAGTCCCAGGGGATTGTTTCACCAGGATTTGACTGCAGAAAGGGCTCCTGAGTAAACTGATACAACACAGAACTTAGAAAATCTTCCCAAACACTTGAACTAACTGTAAATTTACCGAACTTACAAACTGTGGTGTCCTGCCTCTTCTCCTTACTGAACCTGAAAGAAGGAAAAACAAGAGGTGAACAAAAACATTTTAAAAAGAAATTATTCCGTAGTTTAGGCAGCCAAAAATATAGCATAATTCTGTATGGTTTTTTTGTTTTTGTGACAATATCTAGAAATACTCTCCAATCTTTACATGGAAGAAGGGGAAGATGAGATACTCAAAACTGCAGATTACTAATTACTTAAAAAAATAAAATAAAAAAGAATTTGGAGGACAAGAATGAAAGACACTTTTGCCTTCATTCCTATGCTTCCTTTCCTCTTTCCCACACAGCAGTCACAAATCACTCTCCACCAGCAGCACAAGATGGATAAACTTAAGAGTTCCTACTCCCAAAAGGAGAGTGCCATGGCTCCATCCTTTCCTTCTGACAGCACAGCTTCACACAGTCTTCTGCGCCACACTCCAGCACATGAGCTGCATGAACATTTTGGATATTGGATTGTTTCTCTTCTTAAACTGGGGGTGGGGAATACCTTGATCCCGCTCACTGGGCATTCCCAGAGAAGGTGGAAGGAAGTGAAAGAATTTAATCAGTTTCAGGCCTGGGCTTTTCCTGGCCCTACTTTATAGCTCACTGGTTTCACCTGGAGCTGTGGTGAGGGATCCCTAGGAATAAATGAAGTCACCAAATACCACTGGACTTTCAGACTAAACACTGATCTTTGCATGCCGGTCTGTCCTCATTTTTTCTTTCTCCTCAAACTCTAAAACATTCCAAACCCCACTGTCCAAACAACGCCACCAGAATAATGTGGCCTCAGACTTTCAAAGATGAGCCTGATGGCATTTATTTTCAAGTTTTTGGTTTGAGTTCAGAGATTTCATTGATTGCACATATTTAGCAAAAAGCGATGACTAAGATTTAAGAAGGGATGTTTGGATTCTTTTATTTCATTCACATGTCTTACAACCCAACCCCATAAAAACTTGTGGATTTCGCATGTTGTTTTCCTTATCTGAAAACTTTATGAACCCTTTTCTCTTCATCACTTTCTTGCTATTAAAATCTCAAACCGAACAGTACATCCATTCAGGGCTTTCCAACAGATAATATTCAGTATTCCTTTATCCCTCGACCTACCTTTTCCGTGGTGCTTTTACATACAGCCACATGTCACAACAATCTTACAATCGGTTACAAACATCTGTAATTTCAGGTCAGGACAGCTTTAGCTACAGCAGCGTCACGGGAGATCATCTCTGTTGCGCTTTCAGCGACCTGGCGTGCTCCAGATGCCCACCGGGAAAAGGCCGGGAAAACCCTGACCCATCACTCCCACTGGGCAGAGGCCAGGCACGACACCAAAGGCTTCCCCGGAGTACACACAGCGATGAAATTCCCCTTGGGAATAAGCTAATACAGGCACCGCTCCGCTGCAGCCCTGCCTGCCGTGCGTCCCGCCATGCCGGCGGTGCAGTCCGACCGCCTCGGGCATCCTGCGCTCACCTTCCTGAGGCTGCGGCCCTTCCCTGCCGCTCACGGCGGCCGCCGACGAAAAAGCGGCGCGTCCCCAGCGAGGCGTGCCCAGGGTTCCGCCGGCGGCCCGGGACAGCACAGCCTGGGACAGCGCAACCGGGAACGCCAGAGCCCGGGACAGCAGAGCCACGCGGCTCAGCCCGGCCCGGCAGCACCACCCAGCACGCGCCGCCATCCCAGCCCCGCCGCACTCCTCCCGCGGCCCCGCCCCGCACGACGGCGGCCGGCTCGGGCCCAGCCCCGCACAGGCGAACGCGGCAGCGCCGCCCTGATGGAGACCCGTAGGGCCCGTTCTGCCCCAGGGAGAAGCCGCAGGCGTCCCGAGGTCTGTTCCTGAGCGCTTCTGTGGAGCCCTGGACTGGGCAATATCCGGGGTTCGAAACGTATCCTGTTCTTGCACAGACACACCAACAATCCCACCCTGTGCATCCCTGAGAGCGTTGTCCAAACACTCCTGGAGCTCTGGCAGCCTCGGGCCCGTGACCATTCCTGGGAGCCTGTTCAGTGCCCTACAGCCGCTGGTGGAAGAACCTTTCCCTGATGTCCAAGCTAAACCTCCTCTGACACAACTTCAGGCCATTCCCCAAGTCCTGTCCCTGGTCCCAGAGAGCAGAGATCGGAAGTACCCCTCTGCTTTCCCTCATGAGGAAGTAGCAGACATCCATGAGGGGCCCCTCGAGTCTCCTCCAAGTCAAGTTTTTCCCTCTCCCAAGTAAAAATACAACTTCTCACCCCAGTCTCCACCAATCTATTTTTGGAGGATTTACTTCTTCCCCCCAGAACTGAAGGGAAGGAGGACTGGTGAAAACAGCCGTACAATACAGGTCAGAACAGGAGATGTAGAGAGTAAATGAAGAAAAGTTTAAGTCAGTGTAGCTGTAAATTGAAACAGGATAACCAGTAAAATTTGCTAGGATAAGACACAGTCCTGCAACCGTGTATTTCTTAAAACTAGTAATCAAAATTTTCTGCCAGAAGTTTGATGGCACTAATCAATCCTTCATGCTGTTCAACCAGAGCCTTCTGTCTCTCACATCCACCTCTTCCCACAAGATCCTTCAATCCCTTTTTTTTGTTGTTGCAAAACAAATTTAATTCTGCTGGGCTACATCTGAAACACACTCTAAAAACCTCATCTGAATGACAATAACTGTGACTTTTCTAGCAAATACACTGCAAAAGGTACTCAAGGTTTTGATTCATATTTCATAGTGAAAGAGCTTCAAATTAAAAATAATCTAAGTAACTGCCTGGAAAGTCCTGTATTAAAGATATGGATACTGCTCAGAGCTGGGGCTTTAGAACTCACTAAGAATTAAGTGAAATACCAACAGGCACATTGAGAGCTTCCTCTGGAACACACCTTCTTTCCATGGGAAAGCTCCTTTCAGCTTTCCTAAAGTTTTAGCCACAAAATAAATCTTGATAGGGAAACAAAACTCTTGGTAGCACAGGTGGTCCCAGTAAACTGCCCAGATTTCCAAGTCTGGATAAAAAAATATACACAATTTTATCCCTGTTGTATTTATTTTTTTTGGTAAAATATACCAGTATATCATCCTGAAGGACAGGAAATGTAAGAGGATTAAAAAAATCTGAGAAAATCATGTAAACAGAAAAGACTATGTGATTTGTTTATATCTAAAAAATCAAAACATTGACAAAAATCTTTTGGATTCGGAGCAAGGAGAAATGAATACCTCTGAACGTTTTTCCTTACTGGAAAATTGACTTCTTGCTCCATTTACTTCTCTTTCCTGCTTTCAATGGGACTTTTCAGTGATAAACTAGTAATTGAATTTTCCTCCCTGCTGCAACACAACCAGCCCAGGCTCCAACATCTTGTCTCAATGGCCACATTCCAAAGGAGGCATTGTATTTAGTAATATTTTACAGGATTTGGAAAGCAGCACATTCCCATATATTCACCACCTGCTGGTTTTAATCAGAGGAGATCCACTGGCTGAGCTGTCTGAGTTGATGACCTCTTTGCTCTGCCCATAACACCATGGCCAGCCCTGATCTGCAAATATCACTGTTACTGCCTCCAAGACCCCAGGAACTTCAAGGCTCTTTTACAGCAAAAGTTAGTGCTGATTTGTAGAGGAATTTTTAACAGAGGGCCTTTCCCATTTGGCTACCAGGCCTTTTCCAGTCTTCCACTACATTTGATCTCAGAGATGCTTAGAAGAGGAGCTTGCCATCTTCCTGCCTTGGGATAAATCAGCAGGAGGAGAAGGGGGAATACCAGTAGGGAATTGAAAACTGTTTCCTGAAGGGCTTTGGTGTAAGGTGGCAGACAAGACAATAAGCGTTAAAGTTCTGAAATTCTGAAAGTGTGTACCAGTTCATAACACCCCAGTTACTGAGCATTGGAGAGGAGCAGGGTTTGTCTGCTCGTATGCTTATCAAAGAATACATTATTGTCCTAAAAACATGTCTTCCCAAGGGTGACTGCCCTTCCCAGAGCTGGGCAAGGCCTGATATCATTACCAATGACCATGGCTGAGGGTGCCGAGTGACCCTTTGGGCAGCGAGCAGGTGACACTTATTTGTGCACAAGTTGTTGATCTGCAGGAGGGTAGGAAGGCTCTGCAGAGGGATGTGGACAGGCTGCACGGGATGAGGTTCAGCAAGACCCAGTGCTGGGTCCTGCACTTGGACCACAGCGAATCTCAGCTTGTAGAGCTCTGTTACAGAATCTGGGGCAGAGGTTCTCAGTTGACTGTTGGTGTCAGTTGCTTCTGGCCGTCCATCAGTTGTCCCTTGGGTCAACCCTAGACCTGCAGAACCTTTGAGCTGGTCCTGCTGTGAAGAGTCAGCCTTGCTGCTGCCTGGGTGGAAGGCCCTGACCAAGGTAAGAACATTCCCATCTCCCTGGATTTTCTCCAGAGCATAGCAATGCTCAGCGGCTGACTTCACCGACATGTATTGACAATGCTGACAATGTATTGACAAGCTGAGGCTCCAGTGCTAGAACTCAAAAGGCTCTCCCATCCTTCCCCCATCATCTGTCTGTGTACACTGACCTCCTCCCTCAGTATTTTCCTTCTGCAGCAAAGCTCAAGGTCAAGTCAAGGGTGCAGGGACCCTCATGGTTTGCTTTTCTGACACTTTCACAGAGGAAGTACAGCTCATTTCTGGGATCAGTGGGGCATGTTCTGCTCACTCAGTTTGCAGCTCACCAGCCCTGATGAAATTGCACCTCAGTCTCCAGCTGAGTCTCCAGCTCATCTTTCTGTAGACAGAAATGCTTGTCTGAAATACTCAGGCCATTCCTAAAAATCTGCATGAAACTTAAGATTCTCTGCCATGTCACATAGTGTCACCATATATTTCTGACCCCTTTCTCTGAAATCTGCTCCAAGGAGTATGGAGACTACTTAGAGTTATCTCTTATTGATTACTTTGGGCTTTTCACACAGTTATTGAACAAAACCTTTTCTCTCTCTGTCTGCAGCCTGAGGAAAAGACGTGGCTGAGTTTGCTCACAGCATGGATAACAGCAGTGGTCCTGTTTTTCTCCTTACCTTGCTCCTGCTGCAGAACACGAGCAGCCCCAAAGCCTCCACCTCTCCTGCTGGCTACGAGATGGCAGAACCTCCACCACCAGGAGCCGGCTCCAGCATGAACCACTCTCTGGTAGAATATGGGCTGAGGCCGGGGGAAATCACAGCTGCCACCGTGGTTTGGGGAGCTCTGTGGCTGATCTCTGTCCTGGGAAACTTCCTTGTCTGCTTAGTGATCCACAGGAGCAGGAGGACACAGTCCACCACCAACTACTTTGTGGTGTCCATGGCCTGTGCAGACCTCGTGAGCAGCGTGGGGAGCGCGCCCTTCTTGCTGCTGCAGCTGAGCTCTGGGCAGTGGATGCTGGGCAGCAGGGTGTGCCAGCTGGTCAGATACATCCAGTACCTCACGCCTGGAGTCCAGATCTATGTGCTCCTCGCCATCAGCGTGGATCGATTCTACACTCTCATCCATCCTCTGAATTTCAAAGTGTCAAGGGAGAAAGCCAAGAGAATGACTCTGGTCTCTTGGCTCTGTGGTGCTGTGTTTGCATCACCAGCCTGTTTTCTCTACGGCTTCAACAGCGACCACCACTGCAACTTTTTCCTCCCCAGTTCCTGGCTAGGAACTGCCTCTGGTGTCATCCACCTCTCAGTGCTGTTGCTTTTGATCCCATCACTTCTCATTATCCTCGGCTACCAGAAACTCTTCACCTACATTTGGAGAAGTGGCACTGAGGACACAGCTGGCAGGAGGACAATGAATCTTGTCTCAAGAAGAAAAGTGAAAACTGTCAAGATGTTTTTCATTTTTGTCTTGGATTTTCTCCTTTCCTGGCTCCCTTTTTTCACAGTACAGTTGTGGCACCCAGAGGAAACAGACTACAGAAAGAGCTCCTTGCTTTTCCTGGCCATCACCGGGATCTCCTTCAGTTCCTCAGCGTCTAAACCAACCCTCTTCTACATCTATAATGCAAACTTCAGAAGAAGTATGAAAGAAATTTGTTGCATGTGCAAATATCCCAGAAGCAACATCTACACCATTGCTACCAGTTCCAGTACAGCCAAAAATAATCACATTGGGATCACAGATATCGCAGCAGCATCCCAACCTCACCAAAAGCTCCACCTGTGATGCTTTTAACAGAGAAGTCAAGGAGCAGGAGCTTGCCAGGCCTGGGGGGTTCAATACCACAAATATGTTTGCCAAGAGGGTTTCATTACTTTGAAAAGCAATGGAAGAGGTATGGGGATGCTATGTTTCCTGAGAAGAAGGAGGATCCTTCACTATTTTGAAGCAATAAATAGTTACATATTTTAGACCAGCTCCTTGGGTAGGAAAAAAAGAAATATTCTGTATTACTTAATGGCTTGAGTTTGATGCATTTGTCCTATTTCATGTCAGTTTTCACATTCTGCTTTGGGGAACTTCTCACCTGGAATCTCCAAGGGCCCTCACATTCTCTGTTTGTCGGGAGAAAAGGGAAAGAACGGGGAGGGAGGGGGAAGAGGGTGG